CTGGGTCCATGAATGCCCGATTTCAGGCCCCGAGGGTGACTTCCATTTCAACACCTGATTCTTTCTGGAAATGGTACCTGAGGGCTTCCCTCTGAGTCATAGATGGTGATAAAACAGCATTTCCACCCCTTCCCAACATCGGCCAGGTAGCACTGTCTCACTATCACCGGCACTGAAGGCACTGAATGTGAGCTCCGGAGGGTTGTAGGTTTGCCTTGAGGTTAGAACGGCTGACCTTTTACTCTCGTACCTTTTGGCTCCCTTCCCACAGCCAGGAGATGCCCGGTTGGTCCGGGTTTGGCTTAGTGTACTTCATCGGTGTGTAATGAATCTAAACGCTTTCTCCTTCGAGTCTCCCTTGGCTTCCTTCGTGCACGCCTGAAGCGCTTCCTCTAGTTCTCTCTTGGGAGAAAGTTTATAGTTTTCTGGCTCCGGCTTCCTCCTTCGTGGGCTCACCAGGAAGCATGCCTCCTCATATCTGCCGCCTCACCTGGAAGTCCCGAAAGCTTTAAGTTCTCCGAACTGTTCTATTGATTCAACACAGCCTTAACCAGCGTTTCCGCGATCTTACATTTGTAGCTGTTGGAACTGTATTGTGCAATTTATAGGGAACTGCATAGGTCCAAGAATAGCAAATATTATTTTGCAACCGAGTGAGAGAACACAAACTATGTAGTTTCAAGATGTTACGATGCTTCTGAAGTTAAGGTAATGAGTTTCTAAAATGAACACACACACACACACACACACACACACACACACACTTCTATTTCTACACACTTAAGTCACTTCATTTTTGGTAAATGGATTGATCACAGGGTACTAGTCTCAACAGATACTACTAGAATGGCTGAACATGGTGTATGGTGTAATATAAGTACTGCTCTTTCATTTTATTACCAAGCACACACACTTAAAAACAATATCATAGCATACACAAAATAATATTTTCAAATGCATCATAGATCAAGATACGAAAACATAAAAATTCTGGAACGAAGAAGACCAAACCAGAAAAAAATCGTAATAGCGTAGCCTCTCAAAATTGTAGCATTTGTTCAAAGGACATTTTACAACATGGAGGATGCTACTCTCAACACACATATAAAGAAAATGCGCTTTCCAGAGTACACGATGAGCCCTTTCCATTCAGAAGCAGAAGCCAAACAAATCAATAATACATGAGCAAAGGACTCAAACAAAACAATTTCCAAAGAGATGTGCAAATGGTTAATAAACACATAAAGAGGAGCTCAATATCTTTGTCGCTAGTCATCATTAGCTCAAGATTATTAACTGTCAGGGAAATGTGAAGCGAAGCTACAGTGTCGAGCCATTAGCCAATCACCAGAACATCTTACGAAACGAAAACAGAACAATCAAACCTTGACAAAGACAGGCAGGTCTTGCCTGCATATGGCCACATAGCTCACACACGGCCAGAGGGAGAGCAAAACAGCACACACACACTTAGAAAACAAACCCCAAAACAGTTCTGCCATTTTTAAAGTTAAGCATGTGGTTTCTCTGGGACGTCCTGACTGTACTGGGACTTACTCCATAAACCACACTGACCTTGAACTTGGAGATCCTCCTGCCTCTGCCTCCAGGAACACTGGCATTAAAAGCATGCATGGCCACACCCAGCCTTTAGTTAGTATCTATGATTGTACCGTTAATTATTTTCTAGTTATTTTTCATATATATCAGTTTTCATAGATTCTTACCATTTTTGAGCTGTAATGCTTATTTTTTATTTTGTTTCCTACCGTTGCCTTTGTAATTAATTTATAATTAGTTATAAATTATAACTAGTTATATTTCTTTCTTAAGGGACCTTGCCAACATTAATCACGAGATACTTTCTTCCATTTAGATTTGTTTACGTTTTGTCAATCAGGTAACATTTTCAGTTTTCAGACGTATTTTCGAGTCTGCACGAGGTTTTCAGAAATTGGTGTCTGCTGTGCACTAACACTGGGCTTTGAGGAGAAAGAGAATCAAGAATGAAGTATATGCCTCTATTTGAGCGCATGCACCCTGCAGGGAGATAGACACATAAATACTGTTCTGAAATGTAGCCCCCAACGTAGTTCACATAATAGACTGTGAGAACCAACTGAAGCAACAGTAAGTTCAGTTTTTGGAAGGAAAATTAGTGATTGTTAAAGCTCAAATTATTGAACTGTGAAAGAAAAGACCACTCATCCAGAAAGAACTGGAAGAAACACAGCATTCTGGGTATGTGTGTTCCTGCCGTCCATGGAAACTGAATCAAGAGGCAAACTAGTCCAACAAGACTCCTGGGATACATCTGAATTGCATTCTATACACTTGCAGATCTTTTGCAAAATCAGCTTTTCATCTGGGTATCACTGGGAAACAGAAGCAGGGGGATTTTATGGTGCGTGTTCTGGGCTTTAGAACCCCCGAAGAAACCAGCCTGTCGCTCATGTGAATGTTCATCTTCATGAGCATCTCAATAGGAGACACATAGAGTTGTAGGCTTAGACAATCTAGACAGACAAAGCATTGCAGCAGTCATGATAAACGGCAATATTTTATGAAATGAAATTGAAGGGAGGCACACACAAGGCAAATGCTACTAGGCATGATGCAATTAACACTGTTGCGGACTCACATTTTCTTCAAGACTCATGTTTTTATGGGCTTGCTTCCTGAAGAAGAGAAAGGTCATGGTTCTTTTACAAAAGATGGTCAGATTCAGAATACAGACTGCCACATCACTCATGCTAGGTGAAGTGTAGCACGAGGTTTGGCAAGCTGGTCCAGATTTGAGCAGATATCCAAGATGGCCAACCACACCCAAGCTTTATAGCTTCAACCCTCAGCTGTCTATTTTTCTCCATGTGGTTTGAATTTGAGCTGGGTGAAGCTACAATCTCTCTCTACCTCATTTGGCTTTATCTGGGGTCATCTTGAGGATGAATTCAACTGGGATTCTGGCTCGAGCTGCAACGTGTAAAGCCCTTTGCTTCTCAGAACTATGTTCTACATCGTTCTGGATTTAGCTCGAACTTCCTCATATCTGGTGTCTGGGTGAGAGTTTGGGTCATCTTTCCACCCAAGCTCTCTGGTTTGTCCCTTAACTCTAGTCCTTTCTTTAAAGAATACCAATTTTGTGCAAGACACACTCATGAAATTTTCTCCTATCCCTGTTTATCAAAACCATTCCCATCTGTCAATGCTCATTGAAATGATTGTTTTCCGGGTGAAACTGCATACTGTCTTTCTTTCCATTCCCTGGATTCATACACTCTTCTGGCTATGCATCAGATCTTTCTACCCCATTATTCTGCCTCTTGTTGCTTTGTGTTTGTTCTGGAAAAGTCTGGCTCTTCCCTCAGTGGTTATTTTAAAAAGTACCTTGGTGTGGTCCTGAGATGGTCTTCTCTTCAGATACACATTTATTTATGTGTTTAAACTTGCATGAAAAATATTAATGGCATGCAGACTAATTAAACATGACATTGACTGTAGTAAAGTTCCTGTATTCTAGTTTCTTATCAGGCTACAGAAGTCTAAAAGTTGTAACCTAGAAATCCATGCTACCTAGAACCTATGGAAAGGTCAGGTATGAAAAGTACCACAGGCAAGAATTGTCTGGAGGGTGGTTAGCAGGCCATCCTTTCTTTGGACTCATTGAGTTTTATCCTGGGCTAAGCTAAACTGGAAGTGAGTTGCAGGCCGAGATATTTTTTGTGATAGTTTCTCGGGGAGTGGCCTTAATAGAATTCCCTTTGGTTTTATCATTAGCTCTCATTTGATGCATATTATGAAGAAAAACTTATTCATTTTTGCCAATACATTTCGAAATCTATATGAAATGCTGCACGAGCTAAGACATGACAAATGATTTTTAACAGACTCAAGTGACATTTGGAAAGCCCCACTAGGTTTTCAGGTTCCAAAGATTTATGACCTTCTAAGTGATTTGTTATACCGCTTATGTGTTTGCCTACTGCTTATTAATCTAGTAATTGTGTGTCTCTCCCTAGCTCTGTCTCTGTCCCTGCCCCTTCTCTCTCTTTCCATTGCCACTCCTGACCCCAATGCTACGGCACCAGGACAACAAAGCCTACAGTATACTATGCCAACTGCTGGCTTCAGGAGTTAGGCTCCTGTTGACAACATTTGCATATGGTCCTGTTCATGTCAGCCTCGCAGACTGACTTTATCTGGCCCTGCAATGTTCAGTGCAGAACTCACTCCCTTACTTGGTTGATACAGAAAATCCAATCACATTGCATCTTCAGAGCAGACATGGATTCATTGTGGTGAAATCCTGCATTTTATTTAAAATGGTGAAAACATTTCTTTCTTTTTTTTTATGTTCATACTCCATTTTTTATTAGATTTTTCTTTCCTGGTAGACAGTACACTTGGGAATGAAACTGTACCAGGCATAAGGTTTCTACCACAGGGACATTTTGTATTGAGAATCCAATATAAATATTTCTAGTCAGACATTTCAATGGCTACAGATATTTGGTTGCTTGATTTATATGCATAGAAAGAAACAGTCCTTACAAGGATCAGCAGATGATTGGCCAGTCTTCCTTTAATACACTACTGCCTATTGGTCTGGAATCGAGGTCACCCTACATGATATTCTGATTTTCCTCAAAGACATGAATACTCTGCTTAATCTTTCATTACTGTATTTTTAGCCTTCCAGTTGAGTTAGGGACCACGTTACCAGAAATCATTTTAGCACTGTTAAGGGTGGATTATATATCATAATGATTTTCAGCTCTCTTTTTATAAAAAAGGTTTCTGGAGACTCTGAATAGGCACATGCATATTTGGAACAAAACAAGAAGACTGCTCACACACGGAACTTCCTTCTGGTCCTCGAGGCCTTCAAATAAATACAAATATTAAAAAGGGGGTACACTATGATTTAGAAAACAAGAACAGTCTCTTCCATGTCCCCAAACAAACGTGAGCTTACAGGAAGTCCTCCCCAGCACTGGCAATCAGTCATCTGTTTTCCGGGCCAGTCTATAGAAAGTCCGGTTGTGCTCTACCGTGTTCTCGTTGGCCCGCTCGCTCATGTGATGCACCCGAGTATTGCGGATTGTGAAACCTTGCTTTGTAATGTATTCCATCAGGTGGAACCGGAGAGAAACTTCCTGGTGATAATTGCATGGTCCAAAGGTGAAGGAAATCTGGCAGTCTCTGGTGTCCATCATGTACTTATTCCACTTGGTGAAATAATTTGAGATGCCTTCTAGTAAGGAATGGACCTTGGTGGTGATGGTTAACTGGGTTATGATGACGGCCACAGGATTGGAATATTTAGAAAGCTTCCGAGTACTAGACAGCTCTACAACTTCTTCAAAAGTATCCATAGGATACAAAGGCTTAGGGTCATTGAGACACTGAATCAAGGGTTCAATCTGGTAAAAGTCAGCTTCTTTCCGAAGAAGATCAAATTCCTTAAAATCCAGGGGGAGGGTCAATTCCAAAGTTCGTAAGAAGTTGAGGACATAGCGGAAAAGAGGTCCATCTCGATCAATGAAGTAATTGCCTTGAGGGTCTCGGGCTGTGGGGAAGTCCCCCCCCAAACATAGCTCCAAGCATGGAATCCAGGTAACGTGTCAATGTGGTAAGGGACGTTGTGTACAAGTGTCCGCCTACATTCAACGTGACTGGGTCAGTCATCATATAGCCCCAGTCTCCATTATCCATCTGCTCCAGCACCAGTCCGTCAGGAGCCCAGGAAGAAAACATTTCTTGGATACACTACTGAACACTGGCTGGTGACTTCTTACACGAGATTTCAAAATACCAGCCATAGTGATTGCTACAAAAATAAGAAAATATGGGAGCTCATAGTCTGACGCTTTTTGGTTTGTTTGGAGGTGGAGGCATCCACGCCGTTCAAGTAAGCCTCAAGTTTATAGTCCTCCCACCTCCACCTATAAAGGGGCTGGAATTACAATTATATTCTCATATTCGATCTTAAGGCTGCGCTGCAGAGTTGATTCACCAATTTCTACTTATGGGAAAGGCAAGTCACATGACTGCATTGTACTTTTGAAGGTTGACTAAGAGATAGATGTGGAATAGTTACTAATAGTCCTAATGGTTATCAGGAAAATATTTTTTGGTGCCTAATTATTTTGTTCACTCTCAGTTTTACATTGGAAATACAGGCATTCTTCCCAACCTCAAGTACAGTGAGATAATATATTTCTATCATTTATATTCCTCAATTAATGGTATTCTGTTATAGCCAGAAAAAAAGATTTTCTTTTATTGTGATCCACCAATGTTCCTTTCACCATTCATTTCCACTTTTTAATCTAAAGCTAATTTTTTTTTAGACAGGTTTCGAGCCCTGGCTGTTCTGGAACTTGATTTGTAGACCAGGCTGGCCCCAAACTCACAGAGATCCACCTGTCTCTGCCTCCTGAGTGCAGGGATTAAAGGCGTGCGCCACCACTGCCCAGCAATATTTACGTTTTTAAGACACCGCAGTGCTTCTTTATGAGTCACTGATTTTCAGACCAGTTAGCAGAAGCTGGTTGTGCTGTGCGAACAATTTACAGTTTCTGCTGCCTTACTGTGGCAAAGAACCTTTCCTCGCTGTCAATAGGTGTATCATATCACGGGTCAGCACAGGCTGTTTGCTATGTCGTCCTCACACAGGTTCATTGATCGTTGGAAACCCTGTCATTTTGAGAGGGAGAGGGGATGTAGAAAAGCAGGCCCTTGCGCCTTGTTCGTCTGTCTAGAAATGCGCATGTCACTCCTCCTTTGGTGCAAGACACCACACTGTAAGACACGACTAATTTTAGGGCATCGAGGAAATAAAATCATACCACGTGTTTGGAAGGGCAGGGAGGTGGAGTATCTGTTAAGACAAACACCCACACAATGGATACCAACATTAATAATCTTGGCAGGTGTTATTGAAAACATGGCGGGATCAAGAGAAGAACTGTGCTACAGGATGTGCAGAATTTTGTTAGAAGAAAGTCCTCTTCCAAACTCTCTCTGCCCGGATTTCTCTTCCTACTCTTCTCATCCTTCTCTCCCTAACCCCCCTCCCCCTCCACATTTTCCTTCTCTGGGTTTCCCTTTGATACTTAAAATTCAGTGCTTCTGCATCATGGAGAACAAATTTCATTATGTTTATTATTTTCACACTCCCTCAAAGTCATTCATACCGCCCCGAGAACTAAATGTACCCTACCTTCTGAACTATGTAGTGATTTCTCTAATAAGAATTCTGGTGAATGCAGATTTCCCCGTCTTATTCCATTGCTAATATATTAGCAAGTCAAATCCAGCCTTTCAAGGAGACTTTGTTCTAGGACTAGACAATATTTTAACATAATATATTATAATACCATATATGAATAGATTTAAAAAGGATGAATCTTCTCTGTCTAACATAAAAGACACTAACCACATGTAGTTATTTTAATTGAAATTTGAATAGTTTAAATTATATTATTAAAACCTTGAGTTTTCTTTACTTATTGGCCACATTTCGAGAGTTTAATAGCCATATACAGTGGGTGGCTAAAATGCTAATAGAGATAAAGAACATTTCCACCAGTGAGGGAAATTCTACCAGACAGATTTGGTATCGATAAATACTGATGATGTTTTGGTAAAAGTAATAGCTATTCTTGAGTAAAAATTTTTAGTCAATTAGAGTTAGTTCAAATTTTTTCTTAGCTGGATAAACATCATAGATAAGGAACAAAGTACAAATATAGTACATAATGAAAGCCAAGTGGTATTTTCACTATATTCAGGAAAAATAAGTGACTACCTTTGTCATTATTTTTTCCATTTTATATAGGTTTGGTTTTAATTTAAAGTTCCCCCCACATTCCATTTCAGGGTGGCAATGTGGGTCTAACCCAATGGCTCAGAGATCTAGGATATTTTTAGACTTAGACCTAGGTCCAAAGGCATTCTCTCTCTCTCTCTCTCTCTCTCTCTCTCTCTCTCTCTCTCTCTCTCTCTCATGCATGCACACACACTTCACTTTAGGGTGGCAATGGAGATCTAACCCAATGGTTTTAGTGACCTAGGATTTTTTATAGACCTAACATTCCCTTCATCACTAGATTTCAAGATGACACACAAATTCCAGGTGTCATATTCACATGGAAGACACACAGTAGAGACTAAGGCTATACCTCTCTAGACAGAGTGCTTTCCTGGCATGAATAAAAGCCCAGGCTTGTCTTCAGAGCCACATAATAAGGTCAGATATGCTAGCACACATCTATAACCCAAACACTCTGAAAATGAGAGCAGAAAGCAGGATTAGAAGTTCAGGATCATCCTCAGTTACATAGTGACTTTGACAGCTGCCTGGAATTTATGAGACCCTCTCTCCAAAACAAACAAAAACCAGAAACCAACACTGCCACCACCCCAGAAAGACTCAAGATATAGAAAAAAAAACCAAGGTCAAAGAAAGGAAGACAATGTGTTGTCTGATGTTTTTTGAAGAGTCTCCTAAAGCTGCCACATAATTCTTCTGTAAGAGTGGACAGTACTTTATCACAATGTCACATTTCATTGCAAAGCATGCTGGAGTTTTATCTATTATTTTGAATAGTAATATGCTCAGCTATAAATGAAGATTTTCTGTGAGGGAAGAAGAGGTTAGATAGTAGAGGAGAATGATTATTTTCTTCCCTATCATTGATCATATTAAATATTTAATACTGTTCAGGATATTTTAAAGGTTTATTTTAGTTTATGAGTGCTTTGTTTGTATGTGTGTGTAGTACACTGTGTGCAGGACTGGTGTATGGGATCCTCTGGAGCTGGAGTTACAGATGGTTGTGAGTTGCCATATAGGTGTTGGGAACTGAACCTGGATCCTCTGAATAGCAGCCAGTGCTTGTAACCACTGAGCAGTCTCTCCAGCCCCTGTTCAGGAAATTTTAATCAGAGAAGTAAAAAAAATAAGTACAACTATTGGACTGTAATTAATGTGTCATGTTTTTATTTTCAAAAGATATCACTTAGTGCCCCAAGTAGAGTTGAATTGACTTAAAACTTAGAAATAAACAAGAGAATTTGATACAATGTGGAAAATGAGACACAAGAATCAAGAGCTTTTCAACAGATATTTTCATTAAAGAGTGAGCAATGTAATGACAACATGTGGACATAAGATATCATGCATGTGGATGAATGAAGAGGAGATGTTTGTAATTTACATGATGAAAACCATAACATTTTATTTTAGGCACAAAAAAGGAGATATATAATGCTGTGGGATAATGCTCTTATACTCTGTAAAGATTTGTCACTTGTATTGGTTTAATAAAATGCTGATTGGTCAGTAGCCAGGCAGGAAGTATAGGCGGGGCGACCAGGCTAGGGGAATTCTGGGAAAAGGAAAGGCTCAGTCTGCAGTTGCCACCCAGACACAGAGGAAGCAAGATGAAAATGTTGCACCAAGAAAAGGTACCAAACCACATGACTAAACATAGGTAAGAATTATGGGTCAATTTAAGTTGTAAGAGTGAGTTAATAATAAACCTGAGCTAATAGGTCAAATAGTTTATGATTAATATAAGCCTCTGTGTGTTTCTTTGAAACTGAATGGCTGCGGGGGCCAGTGGGATAGACGTTAGCATTTGCAATGTAGGTAGAAGTAGTATGTGGGCTTGACCAAGAATGGGATAATATGGTGTTAAAGAGCGTCCTTTCTCTTCAATTGCAATCCATTAGAGCTGATTTTTAGTTCAATAAGTTAATGAAGAAATGTATGCTAATGACTAGCTGATAGAAGGGCAAGATAAGTGAAAGAGAAAATGAGGGAAAATTTGTTAGTAAAGGTCAAAACGTAGCACAAATCCTTAGTAATTAGGAAGGTGAGGCCAGCTGAGAAACTGCTAGTGAGGTGGGTGCGTGCAGAACAAGGGCCACGCAGCTGATGAGAATCAAGTCACATGTGGTGAAGTGCATGGATCCTGGAGCCACACCGCCGATGTGCAAATTACAGCGTTGCCACTTAACAGCTGTGGCTTCGGGTAGACCATTAAACCCTCTGAGTTTCAAATTTCCTACCCCTTAAATGGGGATAAAGTGGCCAATAGTGCATAGAATTGCTATAAAGACAAAACATGTGCAGCATTTAGAACAATGCATGTCCTTTAGAAAGTACTGTGAAAATCCTACCTGCTATCAATACCAGGATTTAATGTATGATAAAGGTCCCCTTCAAGAAGGTAAGGAAAGCAGGAGCAATTTAATATCTTATAATGGAGCAAATGACTGGCCATATGGAAAGAAAGAACAGGAAAAGGTAGAATAAAATAAATTAAGGAAGGCAGGAAGGAAGAAAGGAAGAAAGGAGGAGGGGAAGGAAGAAGAAAAAGAAGAAACCACAACCTTTATCACTTCTAAGTGATATGATATATTAAATATTTAACCATCAACTTCCCCATAAAGTACAACAAAAATGAAGAATGTAAAATGTTTTCTTGGTGTGTGGGAGAAAACATTGTTTTTCGCACAATGCTAATACAAACAGAAAAGAAAACACTGTCAAGTTTAGCTCCCAATTAAAAAAAAAAAGCAGAGATAGGATGACAGACAGGATGGAGGTCGTGTAAGGCTGATTGGTAAATGTTTATATAAATATTAAATCATTGTATGTCTAGATTTTTTTGTATAGCATACCACAATAGGGTTTGAAATGCGGTCCTTAAGTAGCAGCAAATGTTAAA